TATTGAGCTGGAAGATGATAATCTGGAAGTTAACCATCTCCTGGGGTAACTGTGAATTACGTAAATCAAGTATTTTTATAAATGATGTCGACATGCATGCAAAAATTTGTCTTAATTAGACAACTTCCTTAATTCATTTCTACAAGCATTTTTCCTTAGGCCATAAATATGATGCTGGTTTGTTTTGTTTTTTTAAACCCCAAGAAGAAAAACTAACCATTAACATTAATAAAATGCTAAAATTTATACTTTTTAAAAAGCTATTTTGATAAGGCTATTCCTTAGTAGGATCGGGCAGTGTTTCATTCTGATGTACTTAAGGTCTCAATGAGTCGGTACTGACTCAATGGCACCTAACAATAAAACAATAATTCCTTAGTTGTATTTGTTGATATGTATTTTATTTCTAAAATAAAGTCTAAGCTTGCTTTTTATTAGAAAGTTTTAAACTAGGTTATGACTGATATTTCAGAATAAAAATTGTATTTGTAAAAGTTTAATAAATAAATTAGAATATATTAACAATGTAAATAGCTGTCTTCCACTGGGGGACCTGCGACTCTACAATTCATCAGCAAAAAAATATAGTAACTGCTGGAAGTGAAGAAGGAATAAAATACTTATTGATGGAGATCAAAAACTACAGCCTTAACTATGGATTTCATCTAGATGTAAAGGAAACAAAAATCCTCACAATTAGACCAATAAATAGCATCATGATAAACAAAATAAAGATTGAAGTTGTCTAATATTTCATTTTGCTTGGATCCAAAATAAATGCTCATGGAAGCAGCAGCATGAGCTGCTATATATTGTATTAGGCAAATCTGCTGTAAAAGACTTCTAAAACAGTAAAGAGTAAAGAAGTCACTTTGAGGACTAAGGTACACCTGACCCAAGACATGGGTTTTCAATAGCATCCTATGCATATGAAAGTTGGACAATGAATAAGTAAGACCATATAAGAATCAATGCAATTGAATTACATTGTTGGATAAGAATATCGAAAATGCCATCAACTGCCAGAAGATCAAAGAAATTTGTGTTATTAGAAGTATTGCCAAAATGCTTAGAAGCAATGTCGGTGAGACTTAATGTCTCATGTTGC